TGGAGGAGACCACGTCTAAAATAGTTAAAATCAGAAAGAACATTCAGACGGCTTAGAGCAGGTAGAAGAGTTATGCGGACACACGGAAGAGAGATTTAGCGTTTGAGAAAGGCGACCGGGTGTTCCTTAATGTCACTAATTTCAAGAAAATTAATAAGTTCAGCAGGAGGAGAAAACTAAACCCCCGATTTATTGGACCATTTGAAGTCTTAGACAGGATTGGTACTACCGCCTACAGACTAGCACTGCCTTAGAAGCTCTCCAAGGTCCACAATATGTTCCATGTGTCCATGTTACGTAAGTACAACCCGGACCCCTCTTATGTCTTGGCTCATAAACCGCTTCCACTCCAAGAGAACTTGTCTTATGAGGAAGTACCAGTCGGTATCACGGACCGAAAGAGCAGAATACTCTGCAACCAAAAAATATCATTTGTAAAGGTCGTGTGGCAGAACCACACGCCAAGGGAGGCTACCTGGGAGGTAAAATCAGACTTTAGAGCGTAGTATCTCAATTTGTTCGACTAGGAGTAAGAGGCAAATTTGGGGGACCAAATTTCTTTAAGGGGGGGAGAATTGTAACACCCTAATTCTTTTATTATTATTATTATCGGAATTATTTCTATTTTATTTTATTTTAATTTTTATAATTGATTTATTATGTAATAATTATATGATTTTAAATTTAGTTTAATTTAATTAAATGGAAATAAAAATAATAATAATGATAAAAATGGATAAAATTATTTTTGAGATTTAATTGAAAACAATTTTAGAAAAAAAGGGTAAAAATTCATATTCTGGGGGTGTTTTTAAAAAGAAAATAAAAAACTGGGGTCAAAATACAATTTAAAAAAATTACACCACGTCAGCAGCCCGGTCAGCAGCCCCGGCCAACCAGGACATGCTGCGCGGCAGAGACACTGACGCGGGAGGCCACGCAGAACAAAGCCATGTGGGCAATCCACGTGCGCGCGATCGGGCGGCTGAGATCCATTCATGCGCGCACGGATGGCTCAGATCAAAAGTGCGTGCGGACGACCTAAATTTCACGCATGCGGACGGCCCAGATTGAATCACGCACGAACGACCCAAATTCATTCCTAATTTAATCGTGATCGGACAATCCAGATTAAATCATGATGGACGGCTCAGATTAAAAGGAGAAGGTTATAAATAATCTCATCCACACCCAATCTCAAACCCTAGCCGCCAGAGCTCTCGCCGGAGAAGACAACTCAGCCGTTGGGGGAACCGACCGCCGCACCGGAGCACTTTTCAGCCACTAAACGAGATAAAATTTCTCTTCTTGGCTCAGATTTCGATGCTGAACCCACTTGTGGCTAAATCGAAGCCAAACCACTGGCCAATTGACCGAAAAATGATGCTGAAGCCCAGCGGCGCCGCCGCGAATTTTCTCAGTTTTTGTCTCCGATGAGGCCCTTCTCGATTCCCATTCGATGTAATTTTTACGCCACTGTGACCACCATCCTTTCCTCTACAGGTTGACCGGAGCAAAATACCAAATCGCGACTCGCACTGGAGGAGCCATCGCACTCGAGAGATTCGCCGCCAGTAAGTCTCAGTTTTCTGTATTTTTTTGGCCCACTGAGGGCCCTACGTGTGTTTCTTTGTAGGAACTGGTGTTAGTTTGGCTGAATTCGGTCGGAAACAGCTGAAAACAGGCAACCCGAGGCGGATCGTCGCCTTGGGCGGCGGCGGAGCCGCCGTGCCGGAATTCCAAAATTGGCCGAGGAGGCCCTGGGTCTGATTTGGAATTTTTTGGGGATATGTGTAGGTACCGGAAGTGTGTTTCAGTTTCCGGAGAAAAATTCAGGGAATCTAGGGACTGCCCGTAGGTACAGTGAAAAATCGATTTTAGATTTTGGATCAAGTAAGGATCTCTCACCCTATTTCCTACCACGACATTAAAGCTTAATAAATGATAAAATGGTAATTTATGAATTAATAAATATGTATAATTAATTAAGGTTGCTAATGGGGCCCGTATCTAATATATTTTCGGTCAGTTGCTATTTTAGTTATTTTACAGTTTTTAAATGCATTATAGTATCTTATTTATTTATTCTATGGTTTTGAATGCATGAATCACTGTTTACTTCATTATAGCTTGATTTTGTGAATCTGATGATATGCCTACATTGTTGGATGCTCGTTACTGGTTTAAATATTCATGATTATGTGAGAAACAAAAAACTAAGAAAAGAATAGAAAAAATATGTGAATTGATAAATGGATAAGTCGACAACCTCACTAGATATCCTAGGAGATGGTGGACGGACCGGGTCCATAGGGAATCCTACCGAAAATGTTGTCTCTTATACCGGACGGGGTATGGAGACTTTAAATGTTTTGGCGTTCATACCGGACGGAGTATGGGGACGGCCTGCTTCACCCTCATACCGGACGGGGTACTGAGGTTTATCGTTTTGGCGCCTATACCAGACGGGGTATGGGGATGACCCTGGAATTAAGTTGTTAAAGTGAATGGTTCACGTGTAGCGGGGACCCCTATGGATACTGGTAGACTGATAAAAAAGAAAATTTGTTGCCTGATGATTGAAATATTAAATGTATGACATGTGTTATGTACAGAGTGCGTATGATTTCATGATATTATAATATTATTATTTTCATAGGTTGTTTTCATAAATCTCCCCGAGGTAGGTGGACAATAAAGAGTTTTATCGTTGATAAATGAATTTGTTATAAATTATGCTCTATTGGTCGTTTTTGTTTTCTACCAACCTTTACTTCTGTGACAGTGAGATAGTGTGACGTCTTTACTGGGTTAGTGTAGCTCATTCCTTACTTAACTATTTCAGATCATGAGGACTTGGTTCCCGAGCCCGTTCCGCAGGAAGACGGTGAGTAGATGCCTAAAGATTTTATAGTTTTCCTTATAGTATTCATTTCTAGTATTTACTTTAGTTAGCTTATTCTTTCATACGTTTAATACGTTTTGGTTATTGTGTAAGGGATGTTAATCATAATATTTTATTTCGCTTTTGCACTTAGAATTTTTATATATACGTTTCATTTTAATTTCCGGGGCCGTTACATTTATACCTATCCTGCTTTGATCTGAGTCGTCCACCAAAATCGATTTCATCCGTCCGATCGCGCCTAATAAGCAAATGAATATAGACTGTCTATTACGATTTGATCTTGACCGTCCGATCGCATCTACGGAGAAAATTAATCTGGACTGTTTATTGCGATTTGATCTCAATTGTCCGATCGCATTTAAAGGGAAAACAAATTCAGGCCGTCCACACGCGCGATATTAATCCTAGGCCGTTTGATCGAGGAGCGTGCGGATCGCCTGTGTGGCACCGATGTCAGCTTACCTTGCCACGTGGCATGCTTTAGTTCGTCGGAGTTGCTAACTGGTCGATCATATGTGACATAATTTTTTTTATTTGTACTATGATCCCCAATTTTTGAGTTTTCTTTTAAAAACATATTTCGAACACAAATTTTCACTCATTTTTTTAAAATTTATTTTCAATTTCATTCGTAATCTATTTTTTTTTATATAAATTTAATAAAAATTAAAATAAATTAATTTATAAATAATTTTTTTATATATTTTAAAATATTAAAACTAATTTCAAACTAAATTTTAAATTTGGGTATTAAATACATGGGTATTAAATACCTTACTAGTGACATTCCTCACTTGTTTTTTTTTTATGAAGGAACGCTGCCAAAGGGGATTAAAACAAACTGGTGGTTTTGGTTTATATAATTTTTTTAATTTTTTTTATTGATATATATATATATATATATACACACATAAATAATTATGTATTTATAACTTTTGACGGTCATTATGCTTTTTTTTGTTTTAGTTATTTTTTTTTTGTAATTTTGGGATTACAACCAATTGGTGGTTTTTGTTTTTTTTTTCAATTGATATATACATATATATAGTCTATATATATATATATATCTATTTCGAATTTTCGATGGCCAATAGGATAAATATAAGTATTTATTTAAAAAATTAATGTATGGACTTAAATAATAAAATGCGAATAATAGAGAGGTTTATCATGCATTTAACCTTATATTTTTGTAATTTCTTAATTGACAATGAGAATAAAAATTAATATTACAAAATTGAGAATATAAATGGAACTCAATTAATAATTTATTAATTATACAAATTATCAGTATTTTTAAATATTAAATAATTTACATTAAAATTTTATCCTCTGAATATGATTTAATGTTAGAACAATTTTATTTATAATTACCATAAAATATTATTTTTTATGAACAAAATTATGTAGGAGTAAAAAATATCTTATGAAAATATAAAAAAGGTTACTTTTAAATAGAATAAAACAATATCAAAGCTCTCTCGAATGTAATGATTAACTACTTCTTTAATATCATATTAAAATTATTAGTTAAGTATATAAATTATATTATCATAACTTAATTTTTTGTTGAAAACTTACCAAATAAATGAGGCTTGGTTAAAAAAAAATAAATTATTAATAGTCCATATAGTACATAATTGTAGAAGTTTTGATGAACTATAATATTATAATATTAATTTTATTTTTACAAAATAAAATTATTATTTATGTGTATCACATTAAAAAATAAAATAGATAAAATTTATATATTATCTAATTAAACAGATGTATAATTATTACATATACTATCACATTATATTTATATATCAATAAAAAACATTGAGTATAATTCTAATCCTAGAATTAAATAAAAAATGGAGATAAAGACAACTTCTACTACATAGTAAATAGATTAAAGATTGTTTATATTATTTAAATTTTAACTTTATATTTATTTTTAGAAAGTATTTTATATTTAAAATATTAAAATAATGAAAAATTAAAAATTATAACTAATTTTTCAATATTAAATAATAATGTTTGAGAATTAATAAATAATAGAATAAATTCATATTATACAATTCCGAAATAGCCCCTGAAATCGGGTCTTGCAATCCCCAAACTTCATTTTTCCCTCTCTAGGGTTTTAAGGAGGGTTTTTGAATTTCTTCCCCCATATCGGAAGACATGTATCCTTCCAAATCCTCAAGAAAGTAAATCGAAAATTTGCAGAAAGAAAATAAACAACAGAAATGTCTTTTTTGTTGTTTTCAACTCCCCAGCTACAACAAACCCCGCAGCCATTATTCCAGCCGCAGCAGCAGCAGCAACAGCTACAGCCATTTCAGCAAAGCAGCTCCTTCTTCCCACAACAGCAACAATCGCAATTCCAACAGCAACCTCAACAGTTTCAGCAACAACAGCCGCAACAGCAGCACCAGCAGCTGTATTTGTTCAACAATGATAAAACTCTGGCGACTTATAGTACGAAATGGGCCGATCTTCATCCAGATTCCCAGAAAATTCTACTGCAAATTGAGTACGTTTGGTTCAATTTTTTTCACTACTCTCTAATTTTGCTTGGCTCTTGATTTCTTGACTTGTTTAACTGCTACTGTGCGATAAAGCAGTGATGAAGATTTTGTTTTTCTGTATTGTTCTTTGTGTAGAACTAAGCAGTGGGAGATTAGTCATCGTTCTTTTAGGATATAAAATGCAATAATATATTGTTTACTATTTTTTTTTGGCTTTGTGTACTTTTAGTTTGTTTTGCATTCACCATTTTTAGTTTGATTTTTAAGTAAACATTTTTCTACCAAAATTTCGTTGTACCTCCTAAGTTGCTTGTTAATTTATCCAGGTTGATTTTTTTTCTTTTTATGGAGCAACCATCCTGGTTTTTGTTGATATTTGCATTATTTTTTTTAAAAACTTTGAAGTTAGTATGACAATTTGAGTTCGAGTTCTTTTTTTTCCATGTTTTGTTTAATGGGTTTCAAGCTGCATAAGTTGTCCTTCATGCTTAGGGAGCGGATATTGGAGTACAGGGACGAGAGCCAGAGATTAGATCAGTGTAGTCGGCTTTATGATTCATCTGTTTTGAATGAGGGGTTTGAGCTTGATGCAAGTCACGTTGTACAGGTCTGACTTTGAGGATCTTCTTGCTTTATTTTTTCTTTGAGATAATCTAGGTTGGAAAGCATTTTTTTACATTGAAAACACTGGTATCAAGTTGGCAGGAAACGCTACTGATCTTAAAATGTGGTGATTTTTTTATGCCGTCATGTTAATATGAACTGAAATTTACTACTAGATAAATGATATCTGTGAACACCTTTTTCCCACTTTTTTCACAAAGAATGCTCTTCCTATGAATAGTTTTGTTATAGTATAGGCTACTTTTATCTGATATACTGCTATGAAATATTAGCTGGTGATTGATAGAGGAAAATAAAATAAGAAAAATGCCTGAATTAATCCAAAATTTTCCAACTATTGTGGTTTTTTAGTACATTTGGCTAAAGGAATAGCTTCAAGAGCGGCTTTTTAGCAGGCAAGATATTCAATGATTGGAAAACTATTAACCAATTGGAATGTTTGAAAATATGATGACTTCATTTCC